TTTCTCTTTTCGTTTCTTCCCATGGCTCATCCGCTTATGTTGGCTTGGACTCATCGCAATCTCGGAGAGGTTTATTTGTTTTTTGAGTCAACTAAATCGTGCCTCCAACAAATGCCGAACTCTGTTTTGCTCCCTGCATCACAGCAATCGGCGATGGAGATGATTTTGTTCAGAATAGATCTAGGGTTGGCTCACTGTTTCACGTGCAATTGTGCTAAGAGAAGGGGTGGTTTGAATCTGTTTTGGCAGGATGAGTTTGCCGTTCAAATTTCCTCTTTCTCGCCATTATTAGATCTAGGGTGGGCTTTGCTGTACTGTGAGAAATTGTGCCGAGACAAGCCATCTCACATTGAGGTGGTAATAGTAGACCCGGGTGGATGTCAATGGCCTTTCACAGGGTTTTTCGACCAACCAGAGACGGATTCCCCTCTGCTTTGGCTGCGTTTAGGTGCCATCAATGCTACCTTGAGCAAATCGAAAAACGAGAAGGGCATTCTCTTCTTCTGGTTGGGTTCTGCATGGGGGGATATAAGCGGGTTTTGGTGTGGACGGTCAAATTTCCATGTTGTGAAGGAAGATGATGGTGTTCTGCAAGGGCAGCATGGCCCTCAAGCTGGTAAAGGGGCTCTAGATCCCTTATTAACCTATGATAGCCAGGGATTGTTGAGGATTGGAACAGATGGGCATATGTTTGGATACACTTGCAAACGAATAGGGTACTTGGCAACTACACAGAGGAGGACCACACCCCTCCTCTTGCTTATTATTTTTTAAGAAATAGCTTGGATGGCAACCTATAGTTTGGGGACTGTTTGTTGCCAAAATCCGTTCTCCCCAAGAAGCTGGTTAACTAGGTGAGGACGTCCAGTAGCTTTCGATGCTCATAGAGACTTTCCTTTCTACATTAGTAGCTCTTTTTAGCCCATACAGCGATTGCAATTTGCAATCTCTAATTGCAGATGGCTCTCTTTACTAATTGTCTATATTCGTCATGGGCATAGTTTAAATCTGTTACTAGGCTGTAGGTTATGCTTCTGCTGCTGATTCTGCTTTTTAAGCTTTCATGCGTTAGGCTATATGCCATGTGATGGAGTTTTTACTGTACTTTCCTTATTATTCAATATATTTCTCCATTTCTTATCAAAAAAAAAAAAAGTTAATTACACTAATTAGATAACGTAATATCATTTCAAGAAACAAAAAATCTTCAAAGTTAGATGTACTGATAATAGGTGTTGTATTGTAAAATAGGTTTCAAGTTTAGCTATATTATTCTCAGGAAAAAGCTAAAAGACAAAGACATTTTTTGTAATAGAATAATTTATTAAAACAAATGGATAATGATATAGTTAAACGAGGCGAAAAAATTTGTCTTCATAAAAAATTGGAAAAAAAGAGCGACAATTAACTTGGGATAGATTTAAAGTAAAAAAATTACAATTATTTTAGGACATAGAGAGTAATATAGAGAGAAAAAAAAGATAGAGAAATTATAAAAATTTATCTTTAGTTTTTAAAATTAATCTGATTAGATTTGTACATATAAATCTTTTTTTTATATCTAATATTCACACTTTTCTTTATGAATTAATACATTTAAAATTACTAATTATCAAAAAATATTTTAAAATATATTTATAGTTAATTATTATTATTATAAAAATTTATAATTAATAAAATTTTTTTAAGAAATACAAATGAATCATATTAGGCTTGAGATCTAGTTAATATGAGATTAATGTTTATCAACTCAGATTGCAAAAAAATTTGATGGAAAAATGCTTCAAAACTATATTGTTATAATAAAGTAGCACTAAAAAGGACTAAAACAACGTT